GTAAAAAAAAAAAAAAAAAAAATTACAAAATAAAGGAAAAAAAAAAAAAAAAAAAAAGCTAATATTAATTCAATAAATTTATTTTTAATTCATAAGAATAAATTTTTAAATTATATATTTTTAAAATCAAAAATATGAGAAAAAAAGAAATAAGTTGTAAATAAAACAAAACAAAAATGAAAATATTAATACATAAATGTTTCATTATTATTATTATCATTTAATGGGAGAATAAAATATACATATTAATTATTCCTTTAAATAATTTAATAATCATATAAAAAAAAAAAAAAAAAAACAAAAAAATAAAATATATAAATATATTTTATTTTTCTTCTTCTCTATCGGTGATAGTAAAAAATAGATGAAATTAATGATAATAAAAAAAAAAGCAAAAAAAAATTTACATATGAGCAATTATAAAAAGAAGTTTTGACAATATATAATATATGTTCAAAATTTTTTTTTTTTTTACCTTCTTTTGTTGTTTTAAATGTATTTAACTTAATTTTTTTATAAGAGACAACATTCTTATTTACATTAGAGTTTTCTATTATGTATTTATAAATAGGTGGAATAATGCCTATTATTCTTTTACTATTCTTTTTAACTTTAAAATTACCAAGTGGTAATATATTTTTTTTTTTTGTTGCAAAATTTAAATAAATAAATTTATCTTTTTGAATACCACATTTTTGTATACATAGAAACATAATATGTTTTGCCATCTTATGAAAAATTTTTTCAAATTTTTTTTTCTGTATTTCTCTTTTTCTTTTTTCAATTATATAATCTTTTTTACTTTTTACATTAGCATACTGAATGATATAATATTTTTTTTTTGATTTTATATTATATTTATTACATATAAATTCATAATTTACAATAAAATCATAAAATACATATTCAAAAAAATTTTCAACGAGTAAATGTTTCTTTATAATTTTATTATTTATGTCTAAATTATTACACAAAATAGAATATGGATAATGTAAATAAATATTATCATCTTTATTATATTTATTTTTTTTCAGGTTGTAATAGTCTTTATTATATAATTCATTTGAATCTTTCTTATTTAAGATATTATTAATATACTCATTATATGATTCAATATTATTATTATATATGTTAAAATTATACGAATCAGTAAAATAACCTTTTTTCTCAAAATCATTAATAAATTTACTATTTATACAATTTGAATTGTAACTAACGATACTACTGATATTGTTGTTTCTATAATTTGTTATATTTAAATTTTGCTTAAATTTTTTATCAAAATTATTCATACTATCACTGTATTTTAGATTAGTATTCTGTATGCCATTTTCACAATATAAAACACCATTGGTGTCTTCTTCATTTTGATATTTTATTTCATTTCTTACATTATTATATGTATAAAAATTCAAAAGAGATTTTTCAACCGTTTGATTCATTAATTCTTCTTGTTTTGTTTTATAATTAAAATGATGCAAAATAAATGGATAACTATATATAGGAGAAAAAGGGGGAAATGATATATTTTTTTTGATTTTTTTTAAAAATGAATTAAATGGTAGTTTATAATTCATATAATAATATGTTTTTTTTATAATATCTTCAACATTTATATCTTTCCATTTCATATTTTGAAAAATATAATGAGTTTCTGAATATAAATTATTATAACATTGATGCCTTTTTCTTTTATTTGCTATTTGTAACAATTCAGCTTTTTTATATAAAATAATAGAACCTGTAAAATATATAATAAAAATCCCATTGTTTGATAATAATGTATCAAAAATCCTAGCTAATTTATCAAATTCTGTAAATACATGAGAATAATACGTAACTACCCAACTTAGACAAAAAAAAAACTCGCTACCATTTAATTTAAGAGAATTTTCATAATTTTCTGATTTGCTTATAGACTTTTTATTATGTTTTGTATTTTCATATTCTTGCTCTTTTTGCAATAAACAAAAAACATCATATACCTCTTTATCTAAGTATTTTAATAATAAGCCAATACTTTTAAATGTATTTTTAATGGAAACATCTAATGATAAAGTTAAATAATCAATCATATAAAATAAAAGGAATCTTTCACATAACAAATAAACTATGTATTCTTTTTTCTCTTTTTTTTTTTTATATTCTATATATTTTTCTAAATTTATGTTTTTAATCAAACAAATTTTCTCAATATATTTTTCTTCCATCACAAACATATTATAAATAATATTTTGAAATAAACCATAATTCAACTTTTTTTTTTTTTTTTTTTTTACATAATTACTATTATTATTAATAAAATTTTCTGTTTTCGATAATGAATTAAAACTTTCATTATATTCATCATATTTATTATCATTTGATTTATTTTTTTTTAATTTTTTTTGATTGCAATATATACTATTATTATCAAAATTTTCTTTAAATAAAAAAAAATTTCCATTATATTCGTTTGTTTCTTTTTCAGGATAACTAATAAAATAATCTCTATTATTTTTATACTTCTTTGAAAAAATTTTATTGCATATTTTATTTACTACATATTTTGAAATAAAACGTTCTAAGAATACATATTTTTTATATCTTAAAAAAAACTTATGAAAATACAAAGTTATAAAAACAAGACAAACATCATGAACACCTTGTGCATAATATATTTTATTTGAGTGCTTATATAAAATACTACATATAATATTTTTTAATATATATTGATATTTTTTTTTTATTTCAAATATATTATTTTTATGAACATTCCATGTATTAACACTTCTTTTAACATCCTTTTTTACTTGAATTCGTTCATTTTCATCAAGTAGGACACTATCAATTATCCATTTTCTTAAATTTGAATTTAAATTATAATTATGTTTAATATTATACTTTAAATATGAGAAAATATCTTTTTTACATTTTGAATGATCTTTTCTGGTGATAAAATCCACTATATATAAATCTATTTCTAATAAATTATTATAAATTATTTTCAGCAGCTTAATTATAAATTTTTTATTTTTCTTCTTATTACATATACCTTTATTTTTTTCCTTATCAATGTTTATTAAATAATTTATTATTTTCCAAAATTTTTCATGAATACTTTTTTTCAACTTTTTATCTAATTCTGAGATATTTTTCTTATTCATCTTTTCGTTTCTTTTTCTTTTTTTATTAAGAATGGGAAAATTATATACATTTGAATTTTTATTAGGAATAATTTTTCCTTCATTACAATAAGAAAAAAAATGAAGTGGAGATTTTTTTTTTTTGCTTCCTGAATTTTGTGTTATATTAATGCTATTAGAAGATCTGGAGAATGAAGATGATAAAGAAGATGAAGAATAAGATGATGTTGATGAAGTATAAGATGATGTAGATGAAGAATAAAAATCTAAAGTTGAATTCCCTAAAGATGATAATTGAAAAGAAAATGGATTAAAATATGATGATGAAGAAATAGTAGATTTTGAAGATGATGAAGAAGATTTTACTGAAAAACGAAATAATTCTTCTCCATAATTATTTCCATTGCCTTTATATTTATTTAATGATTTCCTTTTTATTATTTTATGCTTCCTATTATCCTTTATTTCATTTAATGAAATTACATTGTTATTTTTAGAAATCCTTAATTTTTCTTTATTATGAATAATATCATTATTTTTTGCATCATTATTTGATTTATTTCCATTTTCTTCTTCATTTCTATATATATTATAATTACAATGTTTTTTATCTCTATTTTTTCTTCTCAAATTATGTATCTCCTCGTTATATTTCATGTCATTATTAAAAATTTTTTTTTTTTCTTTTTTATCTGTATTATAGAAATAAATATTTTTTTTGTTTTGTATATCTAATGATTTTATCTTTTTTGAATTAAACTTATATAAATCACTTTTATTTTTTTCTTCATCGTTAATCCACTTTAATTTAAAGTATTTAAGAGAATTAATATATTTAAATTTTTTTTTTTTTTTTCTACACAATATTGATATAGGATGATCATTATAATTTTTTTCTTTTGATAAATTTATATTAAATCCTAGTAATAATAACCAAAGCTTTTGTCTTAATTTGTTATTTTGAAAACCACCTTGAGTAAAAGAAAAAAACTTTATTAATTCATAAAGTTTTTTTTTTTCATTAGTTGTTACATTTTCATAAATTTTTAAAATTTTCTTTAAATTCTCTAATTTTTCATCATTTTTTTTACAATATTTATTAAAATAATTTTTGTAAATCGCTACATTGTTAAACAAATATAATTTTTTATCATCTTTATTATTCTTAATGAAATGCTTCTGTTTATATACATATCCATTTCTTTTTTTTATATAAAATTTTTTTTTATCAAATAATTCTGTATCACTAAAATTTTTATCCCTATTTACTGAATATTTTAATTTAATTTTTTTTTTTTTTTTATACAAAATATCAAAATCTAAGCAGCTGTAATAGCCTTTTTCCCTTTTTTTTTTTAAAGGAACTTTCATATTATAATTTAGACTTTTATATTATACATCCATTTATATTTACAAAGAAAAAAAAAAAAAAAAAAAAAAAAAAAAAATCATCAATTTTTTTGAAAAAAAAAAAAAAAAAAAANAATTTTTTTTTTTTTTTTTTTTTTTTTTTTGAATCAAAAAATAAAAATAATCATATGAAAAACTTATAAAAGTAAAATTAAATATATTAAAAGAAAATTATAAAAAAAAAAAAAATATATCCTAATTTTTTTTTTTTTTTTTTTTTTTTGCACTTATTTAACAGTTATATTTTAAAATTAAGTAAAAATCAATTTTATGAAAATAGATAAGTACACATTATTTTTTGTGTAACTATTTTAGATTCAAATAATATATATTTATTTTCCTTATCTTCTATAACATTGTAGATAAAATAATTTAATTATAATTATTTTCTTTTTTATCTACTAGAAAAAATATAAAATGTATTCATAATAAATTAAGCATAAAATTAAAATGATTAAGTTGTAGAAAAAAGGTGAATTTTATAATATTTTTTTAATACATTTGGAATTTTAAAACAATAACAAAAAAAAAATAAAATATATGACTAAAAAAAAAATAAAATAAAACAAAAAAAAAAAAAAAGTTTTTAGTTATATTTAAAATTAGTTTTATTTACTTCTATAAATTTAAAACTCAATTTTATAATAACAAATCAATAAAATATTATATAGTAATATGTTACCTTTTAATAAATAGAAAATTAAACATATACATTTAATACGAACAACTCATTTATTATATGTACATATAAATATATATATATATATGTATAATATACTTTTCCTTAATATATATATATTTTAAATTATTATGTAATTGTTTTTTTTTTTTTTTCTTAAAAATATTTAAATTGGAAATATTACTTTTGCTGTCTATTATACAAACATATTTTAACTGTTCTAAATAATTATAATAAATTAAGTTTTTAGACTAATAAAAATACTTTAATATGTTCTTTTAAATTAAAATTTTCATTTACATCTTTTATTTTCATTTTTCCTTTTTTTTCCTTATCTTAAATATTTTAAGGAATGATATATATTATTCACTTTCAAAAAAAAAAAAAAAAAATAAAATTTATTATAAACAAAACTTCTAGTATATTTAAACATTTATATAAATTATCTTATAATTTATCTATAATAATAAAAAAAAAAAAAAAAAATAGTAAAAAATAAAAATAGAAATTAAAAGTTAATATAATAAATATATATGCATTAAATTATATATTTTTTTTTTTTTTTTTTTTTTTTTTTTTTTGGGTATTTTTTATATATAATTTTGAAAAAAATGGTTTTCAAATAAGTTTTAATAAATTATTTTAAAAATATTTATATAAATTATTTAATAAAAGATTATTTTTCACTAAAACGTTACATTTAAATAAAGTAAAACTTTTATTTAATAAAACTGATTTTAATTTTAAAAGAAGTTATTTCATTAAAATTTTATTTATATCTTAACGAAAGGAATATAATTTTTTAAAAAACATTAAAAAAAGAAAAATTCCGTATTTTAAATTTATTTGATAATTCATTGAAAATGCCATTAAATGTTCAGGTTAATTTTTATTATAATTAATGTATTTATGTGAATAAAAAAATATAAAAAAAAAAAAAAAAAAAAAAGACTAAATTTAAATATTTTTTATGATAATGAATTTATAGGGAGGAAAAAAAAAGCCACTGAAAGCTCCAAAAAAGGGAACAACAGAAATAACAGAAGAAGAAAAATCATTTAAAAAAGAAATGGCAGAGAAAAAAAAGTAAAAAAAAAGAGGAGATAATAATGTTTTTATATTATATAGAAAATTAAAAGTACATTTATGCATATACCTTTTAAAAGATTTCTATGAAATAATTAAATAATAAAGCATAAATATATTTTATAAATTTTTAAATTAATAATAATGGACATTTTTATTTTTAAATTAATGTAAGATAATGTTATTATACACTCTTTTTTTTTTTTTTTTTTTGTTGTTAATTATGCAGAGCTGAGGAAGAAGCTAAACAAAAGTTATTAAAAGCAAAAAAAAAATAATTGAAATTATTTGACAGCTATAAAAAAAAGGAAAATATTTTTTGAAAATATCAATGTTTTTATTAAATCAAGTCATTTTTTTAAATAATGGAACATTAAAAAAGAATAACTATAAAAAAAATATTTATAAAAAAGTAAAAGAATAAATAATGTGCACTTTTTTTTTTTTTTTTTTCATTCAATCTATATTTATAGTTTAGTATACTTTTTTTTTTTATTTTACATATTTTCCGTTCAATTTTAATATGTAATTTATTCGCATGAAAACTAGTAAAAATATAATTTAAAAATAGAAAAAAAAATAACTTTTTAATGTTAAAAATGAAATATAAACATAAAAAAGAAATATTTTAAGGAAATTAAAATAGAAAAAGAAATTTTTTGTATACTGTTGCAGTTCATTTTTAAAATATAAAATATAAAACATCTACTACTTTATAAAATATATTTCATACAAAAAGGCCATTTAAAATGAAAAAAAATATTAACGAAAAAATATTCATAAAAATGAATTAAAATAACATACAAAAATTTAATAATATTATATATAAAATAAATTAATAATAAATTGTATCATTTATATTTCATTATCTTAAAGTAATGATAAGGAAATTATACAAAAAATAACATATTTATAAAATTATTTTCCTCTCTTTAAGTTATCTCTTTTTTTATTAATATTTCATTATTTAATCTTAATATAATAAAAAATTAAAAATTATCATATCTTTATTGCATATATTTTTAATACTAAAAAAAATTGGGTAATTTTTATAGTTCTATATATATATATATATATATATATATATATATATATATATTGGCCATTTTTTCTTTACTTATTTATTTGTTTATTTTTTATTTATTTAAAAATTTAATAATTATTTATAATTTTTGTATAATTACACAAATATATATATATATATATATATATATATATATATATATATATATATATATATGTAAATTTTTAAATATTCCACACTAAATTAAAATATATTTTTATTAAATATATTTTTTTTCTACATCATACATGTGAATGCTATATTTAATATTCTATTTATATATATATATATAAATGAATATAACTAATATACCCCTTTATCACTACAAAAATACTAAAAAAAAAAAAAAAATTATATTAAAAAAAATTATCAGTGCGTAAAAAAAAGAACAAAAAAATAATTAAATATTACAAGAAATTCATAAAATTTTTTATAAAAAAATTCATTAAAAAATGAACATATAAAAATAATAATGGTACAACAAAAAAGGAAATGAACAAAATTTCATCAAATTGAAATATACAAAAATAAGAAACCTTAAAAATATTTAAAAAATTTTACAATTTTAAAATATCATTTATATTATTGTATTTTATTTTTTATTTTGATATATTTAAATAACATTAATTGAAAAAATGGCAGTAGGAAAAAATAAAAGAACATCAAAGGGAAAAAAAGGAGGAAAAAAAAAAGTTACTGATGTTTTTACAAAAAAGGAATGGTATGATCTTAAAGCTCCCAAAATGTTTTTAGTAAGAAATTTTGGAAAAACATTAGTAACAAAAACTATTGGAAAAAGTAAGTGAAAAGTTTCAAAAAAAAATATCTTAATTTTTTAATGTATTTTTTTTTTTGTTTTTATTCTATTTATATATTTTTTGTTTTTTTTTTTTTTTTTTTTTTAATTATAATCCTTTATAATTCATTAATTTTTTTTTTTTTTATGTTAAATATTATGAGAAATCCTTTATTAGTATATATATATTTGTTTTTAAGTTTGTATTAATCAACAATATCTTTTACTTATTTATTTAATTTTTATATTCACACAACTAGTAATTATTATATATCTTTTTATATATTATATGAATATTTTTTATTTAAATTTTTCTCTGAAATATAGAATTAGCAACGGATAGCTTAAGAGGAAGAATATATGAAGTCAATTTAGCTGATTTAAATAATGATGAAGATCAAGCACATAAAAAAATAAAATTGAGTTGTGAACATATTATTAATAGAGATTGTTATACTGATTTCTGTGGTTTAAGTATAACAAGAGATAAGTTATGCTCGTTAATTAGAAAAGGATATACATTAATAGAGGGATTTACTGATGTAAAAACTATTGATAATTATCATTTAAGAATGTTTTGTATTGCCTTTACAAAGAAAAGACAAAATCAGACAAAAACAACTTGCTACGCTCAAACTAGCCAAATAAAAAAAATTAGAAAAAAGATGGTAGATATTATGAATGCAGAAGCTAGCAAAGTTTTATTAAAAGATTTAGTAAAAAAATTCATACCAGAATCTATAGGAAAAGAAATTGAAAAACAATGTAAGAAAATATTTCCATTACAAAATGTTTTAATTAGAAAAGTTAAAATTTTAAAAAAACCTAAATTAGATATTTCTAAACTGATGGAATTGCACACGGAACCAAAAGAAGATTCAGGAAAAAATGTTAAAGCTTTACCAGAATCAAAAGAAGCAACCAACATTTTGACGGCTGAACTTAAACATTAAAATGTTATTTTTCCTATATATTTATATGTTATTTTATAAATATATATATATTATGCACATTTAAATGTTTTTTTTATATTTATATATTTATTCATTCAATTTAAATACGTGTGTAGATTTAATTTTTTTATGAATTAATTTATTAATGCACCTTTTTTTTTTTTTTTTTTTTTTATAAATTTATAATATATTATATATTATATATGAAATATATATCTTTTAAAAAAACAAATAAAAAATTTAATTCAAAAATATTCAATTAGAAAACATTTCTTATTTTCTCATAGTTAAATAAAAGGGATTTATATATGAATTATGTATAATTTAAACAATTAATAGGAAAATCTCTTATTAAAAAGGGAAGTCGAATATTTTTACTTTATTTTATCATCTTTTTTATTAATATCTTGCAATCTTATTAATAATGGCTTTAAATCTATTATAAAATAAAATGGTGTTTAAAAATGAGTAATTAATAAAAACTATAAAAAAAAAAAAGAAAAGAAAAGAAAAATAAAAGATAATTCATTTAGAAATATATTAAGACCTTCTTCATATTGATATTGAATATGAGTTTTTTTAAATATCTCTTTTATTTTAATTAATATGTCCTTAAAAAAAAAAAAAAATTATAAAAAAATGTATAAATATTTTTTTATTAGCTTTATATGAAATATTAATTTTTACATTTATCATATGTGAATGTTTTATAATTTCACATTCTACTTCTTCTATCTGATGATGAAGATCTTTTTTCTTTTCTTCTATTACTAAATTTTTATTTTTAAGAATAATCTCCTTCTCTCTTCTAAGCTCTACTATTTTTTTTTAAGGATTTTAAAAATGGTTTTTAATAATGTTATATAAGGGTATAGAAAGAAAAAATAAATAAAACATAAACATAAAATATTTAAATATTATTACATATTTCACTATATGATCTTTCTGACAACATTTTTAAATCATTTAACATTTCATATATTTCCTTTTCAATGTTCTTGTATTGATTCAAAATTTGTTCATATTCATTTTTAAAGTTTTCATAACTAGTTTTATTTTCTATTTCTAATTTCTTAATATTTTCTAATTTATTTTCTCTCTGTTCTTTTAAACTTTTCATAATTATTGTTTTTGACACTAATTAAAGAAAAATCAGAAGAAAAGACAGAATATTATTTATTCATTTTTTTTTTTTTTATTAAATAAAGAGAAAAAGAAAAAACTAAATAAAAAATAAAATTAATACCCAAATCATTTTTCATAGATTCTATTTTTTCTTTTAATTCTTTAGCTTTCATTAATTGTTCATCATCCTTTTTTTTATTTTTGCTTATTACTGATTTCATTTTCACATGTATTTTTTAAAGGAAAAGGAATTTTAAGAAATATACAGAAAGAATTATTTTATATATTGAAGAATAAGAAAAAAAAAAAAAAAAATATCACTAAAATTACAAAAATAATATGAGAAATTATATTGTTTTTATTAATTTATAAAGTAAAATCATTTTTTTTTTTTTTTTTTTTTTTTTGCATAATTTCCATAAAAGAGTAATAATTGATTTATTATTTATTATTTCTTACTTTAAAAAAAAAATATTTACGTAATAAGAAATACCTCATTATTTAAAATTTTTGTATTAAAAAAAAATAATGAAATTATTTAGACAAAAATAAAAAAAAAAACTAAATATGGATTTTTTTTTCACTTCTATAATTTTTCATTTAAGGATCTTATTATTTTATAAACTTAAATACATAAAATTATTTTCTATTTTTTTTTTTTTTTTAAATATAAGTTTACATTAAATATATGTTTTACATATGCAAAAATATATCTTAGAAAAAATTTTAAAATATGTTTTTTTTCTGCTCCTATTTTGCATTTATTTGTACTGCAAAAATTCAAACAATATTATAAACATATATATATATATAAATATATTAAAACATAAAATAAATGTTTAAAGGATATAAATATTTAAATAGATTAAATTGTGTGTATAAATTAACGTATGAATTAATAATAATAATAATAAAAAATATTTTCACATTATTTTTTATTTTTGAAAATTAAAATTACTTAATTATAAGTATTTAAATGAAAAATGTTTGAAAAAAAAAAAATTTTAAATGTTATAAAAATAAAAGATGAAAAATCCATGTTCATATCTTCATAATATTTAATATTTTTTTTTTTTAAAAAAAAAAAAAAAAAAACTTTAAATTATTTAGCGAAATTTAATATTGAAAGGATATATTTTTGTTTTTAAAAAATATTGATGTTTCATTTCTTGTTTTTTCTAATTTTAAAAAATTTATTATTCTAATTTTAATAATTTATGATTAAACTTAAAAGAAAACAACATAACTTATATTTATATTCCAAATAAATTTTTGATGTTTTTGTTTTAACCTTATATACTTAAGGAAAATGTTTAAAATTTGCGTTTTATACTATAATAATGAATGACAACAACGAAAAATCAAATTTTATTATTTCGAATGATAATGAAAATCTTCATAAAGAAAAATATAAAAGTGAAAGTGAATCTACTTTCGTATTTGAAAAAAATAAACAAAAAAAGAATATGTATGATGATTATGAAAAAAATAAATATTCCAATTATTCAAATTTTAAAAATTATGTAAATAGAAATATTACAACAAAGGATAGTACACTTAATAATAGATCAAATATATGTGTAAATGTAAATCAAAATGCATATAAAAAATACTTACATGGTGAAATAAATAAGAAAAATGTTAGAAATGAAAGTTTAAAAAATAGTTATATGAAGTCAAATTTTTATAATTATAATAATTTAATGAAAAACACAAAAAAAGTAAATCAAAATGCTTATTCTGAAGATCAAAAAATTAAAAAAAAAAAAAGAAAAAGAAATAATAACAATAGTAATAATAATAATAGCAGTAATAATAATAATAATAATAACGATGATCATATTATAAATAACTACAATAATAATAATATTACAAATAGTAATAACAGTAATAATAATAATAATAATAATCATAACAATTTTAATAACAATGACAATATTAATAGTAATTTTAATAATACTAACATGAGTAACGAAAATTATATAAATTCGAATTATAATTTTAATAGTTATAGCAAAAAAGAAAATTATAGTAATAAGGGAAGTAGAAATATCAACAACCTACAAAAAAATGATACAAAAAATATGAACAAAAATAAGAAAAATAGGAAGAACATTATAGAAAATAAAACAAATGAATCCAATTTTAATTTATCTAATTCAATAAAAGATAATGATAATTTTTATAATATAAACAAAAATATCAATAATACTAAGAACAATTTTTTTTCTAACGAAGATAATAATTGTAACAAATCAAACCAAAATAACAAAAACAATAAATATACATATAATAATAACTTAACTTATAAAAAGAAATTTAATAAAATAACTCTTTCAAATAAGAGTAATGTTGAAAATTCTACTAGTGTAAAAAATAGTAGGTTTCCACATTTAATTTTTATGAAAAATTCTAAAAACACAGAAGAAGAAATGATAGAAACAAAAAATAGAAATAAGGAATATAAAAAATTTGAAATTAAGAATATGCCTGTAAATAAAATTGTTTCGGATAATTGTGAAAATAAAAAAAATAATTTAAGTAATATTTATAATTATAATATAATGACATCAAACGACAACGATAATGATAATAATAATAATAATAATAATAATAATAATAATAATAATTACACTTTTAGTAGCGAGAAAAATTGTTTAAATGAAACGAATAACTATTATGGTAATAATAATAAAAATAAAGAAATTTCAAGTAATAACAAACTTAATAATAATTTTAATATAAATATTCACAAGAAGAATATATTGAATAGAAACATCAAAAAAGTATTTTGTGAAAATAATATAAAAGGTAGTAAGATGTATAATGATGATATGGAAGTTAATAACAATAATAGTTTCAGTAGAAATAAAAGTGATGCAATTAATAATTTGAAAATTGTGAATAATACTAATATTAATAATGATAATAATAACAGTAATGATTTGGTGGCAAATTTAAACAATTTTTCTTATAGAGATAATAATTCAGATTCATTTAAAGATGAAACATTATATACTGAAAATAATAATTCAAATATCATAAAAATGTTATCTAAATATTTAAACAATATAAACAGTAAGGGTGTAAATGATTTGAGTATGATGCATAATGAGATATTCGCAAATAAAAATTATGAAACATTAAGAAACATTCTTAATACCAGGAAGAATTCTGATAATTCATCTAAAATGAATTATCTTTCTAATGAATATTCTAAGGAAAATCAAAAAGAAAATAATATCATAAGTAAAGAATGTTTTAATCAGGGTTTTAAAATTAATAATAAGCAATTTATGGAGAATAGTAATACGCGAACTGCTAATAATTTCAATATTTGTATTGATAAAAATGAATATTCAAATAATATGAATTATAATTTAGGTAACAAAAGAAATATGAATATTTTAGAAGAACAAACTATTTTCAACAATAACCACAATATATGTAAAGATACTAATGAAAATAACATGATCATAAATACTAAGCGAAATTTAGAAAAGGTTGAAAACAAGATAATAAATAGATCACATAATTCTCATTATAATACAATAGATAAAAATATACCAATAAATAAAATGAGTAATATTTGTAAGTTTAAAGAAAACATATGTGAAGAAAATAATAAGAAAAATAAAACTGAAAATAAAACGAAGAGTGAAATATGTAGTTATTCTAAAAAAAGTGAAGAAATAAAAGAAAAATGGAGTAAAATAATTCTAAAATGTAAAAACATGAACATATTAAATAACTTCAATAAAATAGACACAATAAAAGATAGTATACATATTGTTGATATTTTTAAAATATCTCTGTTTAATGACGCTAGTTATTATCTTCGTAAAAATATTTTCTATAACAATTATAAAAATATATCAATACATAACAAAAAATTTTTATTTTTAGAAAATATGTTTAAATTTAATAAAATAAAAGATAAAAGTGAACTAACTGTAGAAGAATTACCAATAAATTTTAAGAATTTTTTGTATTTTTTTAATAATTTTTATCAAATTACAGAGAATTATAGAAATAAAATATGTTTTTTTCTCTTATATAAAATTATAATTATGAACGAAGATGATGAAGAATATGGAAACTATTATAATTTAACTTTAAAAATATTAAATAAAAATACGCTTATTCTTTTTTTGTTTTTGTTAATTAATCTAATGAAAAATTATTCCTTAAAGAAGACTTATTTCGTAAACTTAATAGAAAGGTTATTACCAATTATAACAAAAAATGAAAAAACAACAAAAAAAAATAAAAATAAAACATTTTTTAATATTTTATATTTTAAATTATTTCGCATAATTTTTGACAAAATTGAAAGTTTTCAAAATCACAAAAAGCATTTGTTATTGTTATTTTTAAGATATATAAAAAATTTCTTATTAAATATATGCTCTTCATTTTTAATTACACAATATATATTTATTAAATGTATTGATTTAATGAATAAATATAATAACCAAAAATATATTTTAATTAAAACTTTATCAATGGAAATATTCTTGCAGCTGTGGAATAATGAATCCCTAAAGTTATATATTTTAAAAATAGGTAAACCATTAATTCGTTTTTTAATTTTTATAAGCAATATTGAATATATAAATAAGAATATTTTATCATTTATTTTATCTCCAATTGAAAATTCTAATCAGTTGGAGATTAAAAGAAATTTATCCAATTATTTCTACAATAATAAATTTTATATACTAAAAAGAAAAAAACTAAAACATTACTTAAGGAAGTTTAAAGAAAGAAATAAATATTCTCTATTTTTATCAATTAATGATTCTATTAAAAATGTGGAAGAAATACATCTAGAAAATTTAGATAATCATAAAGAAAATGAAACTAATAATATTAACATAGATGTAAATAAGGCAAAAATCAATATTGATACACTATTGGATTGCATTTTTGAAATAAAAAATGGTTACAACTATTTCAAAATATTATTGACTCATGAAGAAAAAAAATATCTAAATTTTTTAATTAATATGAATAATCAAAATAATAATTTTCATTTTAATTTATTTTATAATTTGTTTATACAAAATAACCTTCTAAATTTAATTCATGAAAATAAATTGATATACTATATTGAATATATAAAAAATAATATTTTAAAAAAAGAAAAAGCAGTAAATTTTTTTAAAGAAAACATAAAAATACATGGTTTAAAAAGTTTAAATGAAAATCTTATATATGAAAACATTGAAAGAAATAATAAAAGAAAAAATGAGTTTTTAACAAATGATGAATGTTCAAAAAAAATGAAAAATAATGAAACCAAAAATGTAAGGAATGAAAATGATATTATTAACTATGATAAAATTTTAAATAATTACTATGAAGATAATGGTAATGATTGTACCTATTTAAAGGAAAAAATCATGTATGATATACATGAAATAATTAAAATAAGTAACTGTGTTTTATCTAAAATATATTGCTCTCATATAAAATTAAGTTTTTTTTTTAATATATTTTTTTATAAAACTTATGATATTTATAAAATTTTATCAAGTTCCTTATCAGTTTATAGTAGAAAATTTAAGAATTTTAGAAAAGAAAATCAAAAAATTATAAGATTTATGAATCTAAATAATATAACTCATTTCTTAACAGTCAAATTTTTGCTAAAATTGTTAAATGAAATAAAAAGTGTAAATTATAATATATTTTTTCTAAAGAAAGAAAAAAAAAAAAAAAAAAGAGAAACTTCTTTGGATTTTTATTCTTGTTATAAATTTTTAGAATATGCATTAAAAAAGGATATTAATATGGTTAATATATTTTTAAATTATTTGAATAAAATAATTTTACATCTTTATGAAAAAAAAAGAGAAAATATAGTTTTAAGCGTTATAATAACATTCACTATTTATAATTTTTTAACATTTATTGATAAAAAAAGTAATATCATTGAAGACTTAGAATTACTGAATTTAAGTGATATAAGTAATTATATTCATAAGCACTGTTTAATAGGATTATTATTAAAAGAAAATAATTTTTATATTGATAATGAAATAGAATATATTAATATTGATGATGTATATAATTATGAATTAAAAAATCATTTGAAATATATACCTAGAAATATTAACAAAGAAATTTTTGAATTAGTTAATTTTAAAAAATTTGTATTTCAAAAAGGAAACTATAAAAAAATAGAAATTATAAAAATACTTAAAAAAAATATGGTGAACAACCTATACACATCAGAAATATTGAATTATATATATTACAGTAGTTTATATTTATTGATTCATTTAATTTTTAATATACGATTTTATTATAATATTCTTCATAAAACGTATAAAAAAAATGCGTATTATTTTAATAATGAAAGTTGCTATATTTTAAAGAATAGATATATTTTTAAAACAACTAGGAATATAAATAATTATAATAATCTTATAACAGAAAAAAAAAAGAGTTGTTTTAACGGAGAAAATAATGATGATAAGTTCTTAATTTTTTTGAAATTTAAAAAGGAAAACTATGAAAACTATTTAAAAAAAAAAATATATATAATAAAATTTTATAGTAAAATAAAAAGAAGTATAATTAAAAATTTTAAATGTTCTTTATTAGCTAATAATGTAAATAAATATATTAAAAATTTGAATCATGATAAAATATTTTTAGATATAATATTTAAATTTGATAATTCATCCTTTTTTATGTACAATTTTAATTTAGAATTATATGAAAGCAAAAATTATCAAAATGAATTTAAGGAAAAATTTTATGAAATAGAGGAAAGAGAATGTAATAGTTTACATCCAAAAGATAACATAAAAAAAAAATTTGAAAATGAGGAAGACAATCAGGAACAAACGTGTAAAAAAATAGAAAATGATAAATATGATTTATTTAATGATAATAACTATAATTTAAATTTTTTGAAAAAAATAAAGAACATATATTACTTTGTTGAAGAAATAAATAAAATAATATTCTACATGATTCACAATGAAAAAACTGTTTATAGTACTATTGAATGCTTAATTGAAAATTCAAAATCTATTAATGAAAATAATTTTTGTATGGAATTTCATTTTTATGAAATTGATAACGATGCAAATAATACAGAAAAAGAAAATATAGATTATAAAAAAACATTCAATGGAAAAGATAATAGTAATTATTTGAGTGAAATAATTATAAATGATAACAAAAATGATAATGTAAGTCATGTAAATAACTTAAATAAGTATAAATTTTTAAGTAATCAAAATACAAGAGAAAAGTATAAAGGTATTTTATGTGTTTTTAAGTATAGCAATAAAAAAGATAGTTCTATTATTTATATTAATGAATTATTAGATTATATTATCTGTACAATTATAAAAACAAATTACAAAAAAGAGAAAATTCTGTATTGGTCAGAATTTTTTTATAATGCTAAAAACTTTGGATTAATTAATTTCCACATTTTCTTTTATTTATGTTCTTTAATTAAAAGTTTGAGTAAATGTGATGATAATTATAATATAATCAAAATAAAAGTAAAAATTTGTGAAAAATTGTATTTTTTATATTTATTTAAAATATGCTTTCTTTTAAATATTAGTATATATGAAACATTTGACTTTTTAATTTCATCCATAAGTATTTTACTTAATCACGAATTTTTTAAATTTTATTTGAATAAAAAAATTTACAGTATAGAAAAAGAAAAACAAAATATGATTAGAACATTTTTAAATTTTATTGAGAAAGAATTAGAATATTCTATTCATAATTATGATCAATCATTATTTATGGATAGCATTAAATATATAAGTGATTCTATTTTTTTAAAAAAAAGTATAAAATTGTTAGTTTTTAAGAGTTATTGTTTTATTAACATTATTTTACATACCTTGCCTTTAAAGAATATTATAATTGATATGAACAATATAAAATATTTAGAATTTTCAAAAAAAAAAAAAAATGTGGATGAGTTTTTAGAAAAATATAAACTAAATCATTCAAATATAAAAGATGACAAAGCAAAAAGCGTAGAATTAATAAATATTGACGAATTAAATGAAAATATATATGGCTATAATAAATGTAAATTTGAAGAAACAAGCCTTAATGATAAATTAAATATATCAAACCAAGCTAATGGAAATGAAATAAATAGCGAAAAAAGTGAAAGAAAAATAGAGAAGCAAATTTCCCATAATATAACAAATGAAATTGAAATAATCGATACATATGTAAAAGAAGTAAGTGATAATGATGAATATTTTAATACATCAAATCACTCGGAAAAATTTAGTGCATCATCTACTGAAACGGAAAAAATTTATGATCATTTGGAAAACTTTAAAAGTCAGGAAAAAAACAAAATAAATTTAATTAATGAACATGTAAGGAAAAAAAAAAAAAAATTGTGGATTTTTAAAATTTTAAAATTTTTTTATTATAGATCATTTTTATGTTTTACAAAAAATAAATCAGATGAAGAACATTTTTACGAAAGAAGAAAAAATTTTATTTATTTTTTTTTCCCAAAAATTTTCATAAAAGGAAAAGAAAATTCCATTGGAATTAATAATCAACTTCATAAATTAATTAAAAAATTGATAAAAGATTGTAATTTCTTAAATATATGTAAGCAGGCTTTTTTGTTAAAATGGTTATGTCTTAGAATATTTATTTTACAGAAATATAAATATAAAACTTTTAATTCCTCTGAAATTTTTCTGTTTATATATAAAAAACTAAATTCAATTGAAAATGAAGAATATTTTAATTTCAATATTATGTCAGATACTTCCTTAATTTTTTCTGATAACATAGATACTAAATACACATTTAATATTTTTATTTCTTACATTCCTAAACAAATTCTTGATCTTATTAAAAAATATTATAAATCATATAGAGAAGAAAATAAAAAAAATTATCAACTAAATGTTTTGGATGATGAAAAAAAGGGAGAAGTGTTATTTAATCAGATAAATGTTTATTTGGTTTATTTTATAATATCTTTTTATCCTTATTTTATGCATTCACTTTTTCCTTACGATGTATTTTTTAAATTATTTAAAATATATTTCAACTTATATTTAATTAATAAAAAAACCAATACACATTCAATAAATTCACCTATATATTTAATACTTTTAATACTTGTAAGACATATGCATTTAAGTAAGTATTTAATTTTTTCTTATTTTTCTACCTTAAAAAATTATTTAAAGACAAGCGATTTATCAAATATATTTCTATTGGACACATTAACTTATGATAATGTAGTGTTATATTTAAGGTAAAGAAAAATATATAATAAATAAGAAGTAATATATATATATATATATAATTGTATAACATTTTTTGTAAGTTTATTTTTAATTATTTTGCTTAATTTAAATATATTTTATCTTTTTAGGGAAAGCGTAGAATATTTTTTGCAAAATAATAAAAAAGAAGAATTTATATTTGACGACTTAAAAATTACTTATAGTACAAATTCTATTTTGTTGTTCTACCATATGTTAATTAGTAACTTTTATTAATAAAATATTAGTTTTTTTTTTTTTTTTTTTTTTTTCATTGTAGAAAAATAATTTTAAAATATGTAAAAAATACATTAATTTTTTCAAAATAAAATCAAAATTAGTATTTTTTTTTTTTAATTATTTGTATATATATATAGTTTATTTTTTTATTTTTTTTTGTTATTTACACCTTATTTTTATTTTTAGTTTATTCTCTTCTGTTCTATATTATTCTTTTTTTTTTTTTTTTTTTTTTTTTTTTTTACTAATTTAAAAAATTTCGTGTTTTTATTTTATTTACACACATATTTTTAAATTTTTTAAATTTTTTATACATTTTTATTTTTTTTCATCTTTTATTTTTTTTCCAAGTAGTTTCAAATGTAACTGATTTATTTCATCAAAAATTATTTGTGTAAACAATAAAATAATTTTTAATTTATTTAAATCACTTTTATCTAATGATTTAAAATAATTTCTCTTATTATATCTAAAATATAAAATAAAATAAGTAACTATTAATATAATATTTATTGTAATAAAAATGGAATTTTTGTTATAGGAAGATAAAAACAGAAAATATTTAGAAAAAATACTAAATAACAGTTCAGGCTTTATGAAATTAAAATAAACTAATAAGTCATATCTCAGTAAAGAGATAAGAAAACCAAATAGAATAGCCATATATTTGAAAAAATAAAATTTTATTTTTTGAATTCTTAATGATTTATTTTTTTTAATTATCTCGTTATTATCAGAAATTTTTTTTAAACAGCTATCCTGAATTTTTTGTAAATCCTTTTTAAGCATATATATACTCTGATTTGTTTTTAAATCTATGCTTTCATCAATTCTAAATAATAACTCTTGAATCATGTTTAAATCTTTTACATCATCATTCTTCATTCGTATGGAACTTATATCAAAAGGATAAAAATTTTTTGGTTTTGCAAAATAGGAGCTTCTTTGTTCATTACCTAAAACGTAATTAGAATTTCTATTATTGAAATCACTATCAGTTATAATTGAATTACGAGTTATTTCATTTAACCCACTGAAGTTATTATTATTAACATAACCTATATTTTTGTTGTAGTTATTTGTTTTGTCTAACAGAATAAAATCAACTGGTATGCTCCTTCTTTGAGGGTTATTATTATTATTTGTATTAGTTTTAATGATTTCATTGTAATCATTATTTTCATATTGCATATTACAGCTGAATCTATTTCTTCTATTGTTATTATAATTTAAATTAGATTCATCATATTTCCATTTTTCTCTTTTAAACAAATCACAAGGAATTTCAGGTAAATATATTGTTAAAAATTCTAAAATTTTATATGAATTATTATGATTATATTTTGATTTGTTTTCCTCTTCTGAAGTGCTTAAATTATCTTCGCTTAAAAATTTTGTTTCATTAGGATTAAAGTAATTATTAACACTCGTGTAAATTAAATTACAGATAGTTGTCATAACTTCATATATTAATACAAAAAAAAAAATACTTAAATTTTTTATACAATCACCATAATGAACTTTTTTTTCATACAAATTATTTGAATTATTTTTTGTATAATTGTGACTTTTATTAGAGCAGTAATAATCACTATCTTTGTAAATTTGTTTTGATTCATTATAATTTTCATTTAATTTATCAAAAGAATTATTTAATTTTTCATATTTGCTATTTACTATATCTTTAATGTTTTCATTGTTATCTTTATAACTAAAACCTCTATATTTAAATTCCTCTTGGTAACAATTATTAGTAGAACTATTAATTTTGCGTATTGAATCAGTATTCATTATTTTTTCTTTAAATGAGCTATAGCTTTTTGTCATAATTTTTTTAAAAATACCTTCATTTGATTTCACAGAGCCTCTTGGGGAATTAAAGAAAGAGTTACTACTTTTTTCTTTAAATTGCATACTGTTATTTTTTATTTCTTTTTCTTCATCTTCTCTTACGTAAAAATAATTATTATAATTGTTACTTTGTAGAAAAGTATTCTTTTTTTCATCTATATTTTTATTACTTATCATTTTGGTTAGTAATTTAGGAAATAGTAGTATATTTTGAAACGATTTAATAGATTTATTAAAAAAAATATTTATTTTTTCTATTTTATTATTTCTAGATTTACCACTATTTTCTTTATTATGACTCCTTATAATATTATTATTTTTATATACTGAATTGCAATAGTCATCCAAAGAATTAATTTTAAAAATATTCAAATTTCTGAGAAAATATTGAGTTAGATAAAATACTACTCTGTAAAGATTAATTTTTTTCATTAGATCAATTCTTGTTAAACACATGGTAACTTTATTTATTTGATTATCTATTATATAATTTATAATCCTTAGTAGTCTTGTATTTATAGAATATTTATTAGAATCAATAAATATGAATATTAAATCAACATATTTTGATAAATTCATTATAATTTCATCATACTCTACGTCACTACTTTCATTTATGCCACTTGTATCAATAAAAGAAACTGAATTAACTCTATTCATATATTTAGTTAAATTGTTTTGGTAATAAATTTTTCCATATATATATTTTTTAATGTTATGAGCTTTCTTTCTTAATTTTTGAAAAGGTTTAAATAAATAATCACAATTTTCTCCCGAAAATATGATTTTCTTATTTTCGTTTGATAATTCATAATTTTTTTTATTTGAATCATAAAAATTATTATTTTTAAATTTACTTAATAAGCCGAATTGATAATTATCATTGTTCAATTTTTTAAAGTTAAATTTAAAATTATTTTTTATATCTACATAGGTTATTTGATTATGTTTATGAATAGAACTAGTATTTTGAACGTAATTTTCTGAAAACCAGTTAATAAAAGAACTTTTTCCACTTTGTGTATTTCCTAATAGTAAAACTGTAGTTTTTTTATGAAATACTGATATATCAACATTTAAATAATCACTTATTAAATTTAAATTTAAATCGTTAATACAAACATTATTATTATAATTATTCACAGTTTTTAAATTTTTATATTTTGATTCCTTGTAGTAAATATCATCAATACGATCTAGAACATCATATATAAAACCATCTTCACTATTAATTTCATGATTATTTCTTAAATTAATATTATTATCGTATTTTATTCTATCTTCACTTTTGCAACTATAACAACTAGCACTTTTATTATCATCACTTTTATCAGTATACACATTAGTTACTCTTTTATTTAACTCTATATTCATATCATACTGTTTCCTAAATCTATTATTTGCTAATAAATTATTATATTTTTCACATATTCTATTGTCTATTTTTTCTTCATTATTTATTTTTTCTTCTCTATTTTTATTTTTAATTGTCTCATCAATTTCATTCTTACTATCATCTTCATTATAGGCTTCATAATAATAATTATTATATGAATTAAAATTTAAATCAATTTCTTCTTCATCATATTCATCTACATCAAAATCGTCTTCTTCTTCTTCTTCCTCATCCTCATCTACTTTATAATCTTCATCCTCCTCATCACTATCGTCTTCATTTTCTTCATAGATATTATTATCTATATTTTCTTTTATATTAGAATATTTCATATTATTTTCACCATTATTTGTTAAAGTTTTATTTCCTTTTTTATCTATGTAATTTAATCTTTTATCTAATTCATTATGTTGATTCAGTAGACCTGTATTTTTTTTTTTATTATATAATATGTTTTTGTAATTATTTATATTTATCTTATTATTCTCATCATTCTCATCTTTTAAATACATTTTTAATTTGGAACAAAAAAAGAAAAAAAAAAAAAAAAAATTTTGTATATTGATATAAATATATGTTATTAATATATATAAGAATATAAAGTGTATATTTTAAATAAAATCTATAGAAATAAAAAAATTTATATAAAAGGTAAAATAATAAAGGAGCAAAATGATAAAAAAAAAAAAAAAATGCATATTAGCCAATTACATCAATAAGAACACTTTAATAATACTAATTATAATTAAATATTAAAAAAAAAAAAAAAAAAAAAAAAGATAAAGTTATCTTTAAGCAATTTTTAAATAAATTAGGATTTAATTTATTTATTTCAATTTATTATTTAGTATTTTTATGTAGTTTTAAAATTTTATTTTATTATTTGTCTCATTTTTTTTTTTTCATTTTTCCTTGAGCATCTAATGTTTCTAGAAAAAAAAATAACTTAATTATTGTTATAGGTTATTAAAAAATAAATAAATTAATGAATAGAAAAAATTAGACATAGTTCTTTTAAAAAAGAAATTCATTTAAAAATTGTTTTTAATGGGAAAAAAAAAAAAAAAAAAAAAAAAAAATAGACAGTATATTATAATTCAATAATCTCCTTTTTTATAATATTGCATACATTTTAAGAATTTTTAAATATAATACTTTTTTTTTTTTTTTTAACTTAAATTTATCGTAATTTATACATTAGGATGATTCAAAAATATCATCAAGAGATGTTTAAAAGAAATATTTATACATATATTTATATAAATTTTTCTTTTTTTTTTTTTTATCTGTATTTTTATTTATATCTTGTTTTCAAGTTTTTTGTTTTTAATTTTATTTTTAATTTGTATTAATTTAAAAAACAAAAAGGTATTTAATCTATATATTATAACAAGTCATCTTTATAATTTATTTTCTTTTGATTAATTATGCTAAAACTTGATAATGTAATACATAAGTAAATTTAAAATTTTGGTATTTCAATTTAAAAAAAAAAAAAAAAAAAAATACACAAATTTATAAATATTACACATTATTAAATGATGTCTTTTTTTTATATTATTAAGTTTTAAATTATTTAATTAATCTACATATAATTAATAATTAAATACAGAATTTTGAAATAAAAACTTTTAATCCATATTTGATACCTTTTCATTTATTCTTGTCAATTTTTTCATTGCATAAAACTTTTCATTCAAAAAAATGAGAAAAAAAAATTTAATAATCTACAAAAAGCTTAAAAATTATATTAAAATTCTAGAAAATAAAAGAGTCTTAAAAAAAAAGAAAAACAAAATTTTTTTTATAATATATATATTTGGAAGAGATTGTTACCACAGAAAATAAAAAAAAAAAAAAAAAAAAAAAAAAAATTAATACCTTTTATATATAAAAATATATAATTCTAATTTTATACAAAAAAAAAAAAAAATAAAATAAAATAAAAAGAAATGAAAATAAAATATAAATTTAAAAAATATGTAATTTTTATTCTACATCAAATTAAAAATAAATTTTTAAGGTTTTTAAATTTTGTTCTACATTAAAAAATTAAATGAATTTTTTTATCTACATTTTTACAATTTATTTTTTTTTCATTGTACTAAATGAACTTTTTTTACCTTTTATCAAAAAATAATATTTGTTGAATTTTTTTTTTTTTTTTTTTTTTTTTTTTCGATTAAGTAAATAAAAATATAAAAAACGAGAATGTTAACGAAGATGTTTACAAGATGTATAAAAATCTTTCAAAACCTTTCAAATGCAATTTAAATGTTAAATTATTGATTTTCAATAACTTAAGAAATTATTTTTATCATTGGAATAAATTAAAGAGATTTCTTCATAAAAGTTCAAAAAAAAACATTTTTCATATATTAAACATTTATAATAAATATGAACTTCTTCAAAAATTAGAGAAAACTAGTAAAAATATAGAAAACAAAAAGGAAATTTTTGAAACAAATAAAAATTACGTGAAAAGTAAATATACTCTAAATGATTTAAATAAATTTGTTTTTGTTAATGAAAATAATAAAAGCAAGGAAGAAAAAATAAATAAAAGTGAATCAAAAAATAATAAATATCCCATTTTAAATGATGATGAAATAAAGTTAGAAAAATTATTAAAAAAAAGAAACATTAAAAAAAGCATAATAACAATAACTGAAGAAGCTAAAAAAGAGATAAAAAAAATAATTGAGAATAATAATAAGGAAAATAAAAATAATAATCATGTTTTAAAATTATATTTTATTACTAAAGGATGTAATGGGTTAACACATTCTTTTAATTTTGTTGACAAAAATGCTATTAATAAAGATGATGAAATCATATATGATGATCACAAAACCATACTTCTAGTAATTGATAATAAATGTGTTTTATATGTTATCAATACAATACTTGATTATTACAAAGATGATTTAACAGAAAAATTTATTTTCAAAAATCCAAATATAACATCTATTTGCCCTTGTGGAACTAGTTTTCATTTTTCAAAAAAACAATAAATAAATAAAAATGAAAAACAAAATATATTAAAAAAAAAAAAAAAAAAAAAATTAAAAAATAAAAAATTTCTTTATTTTTTCTACGGGACTTAAAAATTATGTCTAAATTTATATATTTTTTTTTGTAATGTGTATATCCATATATTTGTATTCCTTCACCTTTATTTTTTTATTTATATTCTTAAATTTGTATCTTATTATGATTATTTGAAACTTAAAACACTTTTTATTGTGGCTTTAAAATTTTTTTTATTGAATGTTATTTTCTTTTTTCATAGTATCCATCAAATTATCAATATCAATTTCTCCTTCTTTGATATAATTTAAATCCTTAACAAAAAAAAAAAAAAAAAAAATAATAAAA